TCATCTGTGTGACCATTTCTCCTTTATTGTGATCCAGTTTGAAAGAATAATCCAAACGCAGGACATCTGGCAGAGAAAATGGAAAAAAAATCATTGAATCATAAAACTCATAAACGTTCCATAAAGCTCATAAAAATCTACTTGGCTGTTGCTTATTTTTCGTCTGCTCATTCTATTAGCCAAAACTGGTAACGCAGCAACACCTCATGTCAATGTGGAGGGAAATGTCCTCTTCTTACTGGTTACTAAGGAGGGACCCAGAGGGAGGAGCACCAAATATGTTTGAAGAAATAAGATAATCTACCACAGAGAGGGGTAGGAAAAGAAGCAAAGTAGACCCGTTCTCCCTGACATATATCCAGTTGTCCCTGCTTCCCTATGAGATGGATTGCTTTTGGAAATCTCCATTTAGATATTAAGAAAATTGAGATACTTAATGGTTTAAGAAAAAACTATCCAAAGGTTAATTAATCATGCAGATACTCTGACTTTAAACCCATACTTGATACCGTGTATGTAGGCATCTCAACTATTGTTAAAACGAGCATGATACTAAATTTGGCTAAAAATGAGGCAGCTGGATTGTAGCTGGTAGTATTTTGATTTACCACTACATGATATATTTTTCCATTTATTTTTGTCCTTACTCTTTACCCTCCTGGGCAGATAAAGCTGAGAGCAAAGAGCAGAGGCTTCACATGACTTGTTGAATAGATGTTTCAACCCACAGGAGAGAATATCTTCTTGAAAGCTACAGCTTTAAATTGCAAGAACTAGTGTCTAAAGCAAGAACAGAGTTTTAATCCAAAATCTTGGCCAAACTGTAATAGACACGACCAGGCTGAATGAGTTGTCTCTCAGCAGAAGCCAGTGAGGACAGAGGACAGCAAGTGGGCCAGATGCCCTTCCCAAACACTTCCAAGGGTTCAGGTGTCCTAGAAAGAAGGGAAGGAGCAAGGATAGGGGGCATCTGGTTTGCCTGGGTTTACCTGAAAGTGACAAAATTTTGACTGGTAATTTAGTCAGTAGTAAACTACTTAGAATAGGCAAGGTTGCATTTGTCACATCAGCAAAAATAGGGATTTGAGAGAGAGATTAATTTTGTTAATGATGAAGTTTAGAGGCAATTTTGCCCCTGTGTTTGTATATGTCAAATCTATTACACAGAGTTTCAATTAATACAATTTGATAAAGCCTAGATGCCATTCCTTTTTACATCTGAAGTCTGAAAATGTACATTGTTTCCAGTTGTTGATCAGTTTTCAGAAATTCACTTTGAGAAAAAGTGAACCACAAGCAGTACATGGTTTAGATTCTGGATAATAGGATGACGACTGAGACAAGAGTGAAGCTCAAGGACTCATCCTTAACCTAACCCAATGAAAGACCTTTGCAGTCACACTTCATGTGAAAAGTAACTGGTTGAAATATGCAATAACGGAATATCTAATCTTTCACATACTTTAGAGTAGAGAGAAACACGTGGAATGAGTGTTAGATGTTATAAAATTTAACTTTGTTTTGGATAGTTATCAAAACTTCTGTATAATTTAGTTTTTAACATCCTTTCTAATTCTGATGTTCTCTATTGTGCAACAATGTTTACTCTTCTCACAACGCTTTTAAGGAACCAACTTCCTTCCAGATTTGTCTCACTCATATAGTCACCTGAACTTGTTGAAACATTTGATATGTTTGAATGAACAAAATTCTTAATGGATAAAATTAGGAAATGTTTCCTGATACTTAGGACAAGTAAAGAAAAAAAGGACAATTTTTCTATCTTGGACAAGAAATAAACAAGCTCAAAGAAAGAGGCTGGAACGTTATTCTAATTGTGTGAGACTTGAAAAGAAAAAATTAACAGAGAATAGTTAGGAATGAAAAGGACAGTATCTAGTATTAGGTGGGTACTTGGATCATCCAGATGCTGATTATAGACAGAAGTCTAAGATGCGCATAGTGAAATTGTTGTTGAGACATTTTTTTTATCCAAATAATTTAGACTTAGAGCTGTACACAATGGAATGGCAAACTGGTGAGAAAACCACAAAGAGTCACGTAAGCCTCAGGAATAGGAAAGCTGAGTCCACAGAGCCCGTAAGTGACAGCATCAAGCTGTCTTATCTTAAGATAGTTTACCATCAAGTTCCCACATTCTCATCATTGCAAGAATATTCAAGTTTGTGTAAGTTATGTGGAAACAAAATGATGAAAAGTTTTCATTGATGCCAAGTGCAACTTGAATATGAAATCGATTATCTCTGGGAAGTTAATTTCAGCTCAGCTGTGACGTTTTCAGGTAGGATTCTTTACATACTAAAAGAGATTACTTAAATGACTTTAGGAAAAAGAGGAGTTGATTACAAGAATGTATGTTCTTGAGTACTTAGGAAAACTTGAACTGAGCCTGGGAAAGGGCTTCCCCGTAGAGCTCAGGCATCGCTCTCTCCTCTCTCCTGCTGCTTTCATTCCTTCCATGTTCTCTCTAAGAGGTTACACACTCTCTTCCATTTATTCTTTTCATCATTCTCTCTCAAATAGCTTTCTCCACATAATCATCCTGTGCACCCCATAATGGCCGCCAGTCCTTTCTCTATGTCTGCTTTTTAGTTAAGAGCTTGGCATCTACTGTATACTTTTTCTATAGCTCTTAGTTCAAGTTTGGAAAGAGGAAAGCTGAGTTTACCTCTATCTGAGCAGAGCCTGTAGATTGGCCAAAAAATTAATCAATGTCCACTCCAATCCCAAAACAGGCAACTTCTCTCAACAATCTGAGCAAGAAGGGAATATTGAATGTGCTTGAGTTACAGGGTATAAGGTGTCAAAAAAGAAACAGGTCCAAAATGGAGTCACTTGTGCTAAGCCCCACATCAGAAAACCAAGACATAATACCTAACCTAATTGTAGTGTCAACCTCTCCAGGAATGTGACCTTAAATGTCAATCTGGAATTACCTGGTCAGCACTAGTGAGGTAATCTGCCTCATAGACACCTACCTTCTCCCAAAGGAAGGTGACCTTGCCTGAGACAATCCATTTATTGCTAGAAACACTCTTCTGCCTATAAAACCCTTTCATTTTGTACAGCTCTTCAGAACTCCTTTCTATCAGCTAAGATGGGATACTGTCTGAGTCATGAATCATTAAATAAAGTCAATTAGATCTTCAAATTTACTCAATTGAGGTTTGTTTTTTAATGGAGGTAATAAGGGATAGTAACTACGCAGCAAAGTTTCATGGTTAAAAACAAAATTTTAACACACAGAGTTTTGTTGTGGTATAAAATCCAGAACATGGGTGAGAAAGAAGCATAGAAGAGTATTTAAGCATCTGTGCTCTGAAATCAGCCTACATGATTTGAATCAGAGCTCCACAAACCTATACTCAACCTTCTTAAACCTGTGAAATGGCCACTGAAAGGGCATAGAATGTATCACCCCAAAATGTGCCTCTTTGGCATATGGATTAACTTTAGGCTAATTATTTTTAAGAAACAGCAGACACAAGAGAAGCTCTGAAAACTAAGTAAAAATTATCCTTTTGTGAGGGACATTTACATGTGTAGGGGAAATCTTCACTTGCAAATGTATCTCCCCCTCTTTAATAGGAAGAGGAGAATGACTGAATCTGTAAAAGCTTGCCGATGGAGAAGGCTAGGACCTAAATATGCATAACAATTTTACTCCTGTTTACCGTGCTTTTCCAGATAGCATCCCATAACTGGCTCCCTCATGCTCTGACATCTTCCTTTGTTTTTAGCTGGAGATGTTATTTAAGGTGGTGGCTTGAGCTATTTCGGAGAGTTACTCAGTTTTCCTGGGTATCTCCCATGTGTACACAAGGTACACGTGTTATTAAACTTCTGTTTGTTTTTCTCTTGTTAATCTGTCTTTTATTACAGGGTGGTCTCAGCCAAGAATCTAGAAGGATAGAGAGAAAATTATTTTTCCTCCTCCTCTACACCATACAGAGAGGACTTTCTTTATAACCTAGTTTTGAGAATTAAATGAGATAATGTATGTGTCAGACACTTAATAATTATTCAGTGAATATTAAAAACACACAAGAGGAAAAGTTACTCCTTACACAGAGGTCAAAGTAAAGAAGCAAGAACAGTTGAAGGCACAAAGACAATCTGAGATGGAAAAATCAAGAAACTGAAAGATTTTCTGATCAAATGACTTCAGCCTTCGCGGCAAAGTAGATTCTGCCATCTTATGAAATGTCTAGTGGTCTTAGTCTGATATGACCATAATTCCATTACGGAAATACAAAAGGTTAACCTCAGTGATAGCAACCTACAGCAGAGCAAGCTGAGTGACATTAAGTATTCACAAATTGTGTAAAATAATAATAATATAAACAACAGCAATAAACACAATAGTCAACATTCATTGAAGGTTTGCTATGTATGGGGGCCTGTCTTAAGTGCTTTATATATATTTATATGTATTAACCATTTACTACTTATATCAAACCTAGGAACTTACATTATCATCATTTTAGGGAAAAAGAAACTAAGGCACAGAGAATTTAAATAACTGACCAAAGTTGCAAAGCTAGCAAGTAGCTGAGGCAGGGTTCACAGCCTGACAGTCTGCAACAGACAGAACAGTATATTGCCTCTAATCAGAGGGAACTTCCATAGTCCTCAGATTTTTTTTGTAAATATACTGACAATGTGGATGAAATCATTTAAAGAAAGACAAGAAACAAACTGAAAAAAAAGTTCGTTTGGTTAAGTAACAATGTAATGATAAATATATAATGATTTAAAAATATATAACTGGAAAAAATGTTTTCTTTAAAAAAAAACTGATTACGAAAAGAATCCTGGAAAGTAAAAGAAATATTCAAAAATAGTAATTGTGAAATCTTAGTGTAAGCTGTTTCCTTTGTCTGTTTTCTCCTTACTAGAAAAGGCTTTTGAAGAGTTTGGCGAAATTAGCCTAAATACAGTTAGAGTGACCTAAACAGGAAGCCTGGCAAGTCCCACCGCAGTGATCGCAGAGCCGGCTCGGAGGCGCCCTCTGCTCCAATAGACAGGGGCGACTTCGTGCTGGATATCCGTCAAATTCTTACCTCGCCCTTACTCTGCTGGTAGGATCAGATTGCATTTCTTTCATTACTCTTCACTTCCCAGTTTGCTGATCTCTTTAAAAGAAGCAGCAGAAAAGATAAATCCTCTCTTCAATGCCTGGAAGGGAAAACAAAATAACCTCAACGGCGCTTTGAAAAAAATCTTTCCAAGAACTTTCTTCAGAGATTTTACTCGTGAGTACTTGGCAATATACTTTCTAGCCCATGAGAAATAACTTTTATTTCTTTTTCTTGGGGGAAAGCAGGGCACTGAGAAGTAAAGAGGGGTGAAGGAGGAGCATTGTCTGTAACCCCAAAATGAAAATCGGCTCTTCTCTGTAAACAAAGTAAAATATTGCAATGCAAGTTGTCAGCACTTTGCATTCAGTTCTTAAACAAGTATATATGCAATTTAGGTTTATGCTTTTAAGATCATAGACATTTTTGCAAGAATTTGGTCAGATGTAGCCTTTTTTATAATTTCACCTTGTAGTGGCAATTCTGTAGTAATTGTCTCTGTTTAATTGGAATTTTCTGAAGATTTGTTTACCTTTAAATATTATTTAGTAATGTATAAAAACTATAACAGAGACGGTCTGGAAGCCTTATGTTTAAAGAAACTTCTTTTATTTTCATTAATTGGTGATATTTAAAACGAGATGTAAACATTAGCATTCTTATAATCTAAATGTTTTACGCCTGCATTAACTAATATCTCTAAGGAAATATTTACAAGACTCCAAAGACCAGAGCTCCTATTCTAAGATACTTAAATAAGAATATATGACATCACGTCTATGTATAGTGCGATTATGTAAAGTAAAGCAATAGGTTACATACCTACACGATGTACTGTCATGTTCTTGTTGGCTATGAAACCATATTAAACTTTGCTTCTGGTAGTAAAGGAAAACATATAATATAGAAGTACACAACCACAAAAACTCTAATAAGACAAACAATTATTATGGAAGAAGCTTATTTGCATAAGAGTATTAGCAAAAAATAAGGGACAAGAGCAGTACCATGGAGAAAAAAAGAAAAGATAAGCCACAGCCACACTGTGACTCAGTGCTCTGGAAATTAGTCACAAAATGACTTTGTGTAATATGTGATAAACACAAAGGGCAGAACCCAAGCAGGAAGCATACAGCTCAGAGAGTCATATTTTGTGTGTAAAAGCATAATATTCACGTCAAAGGGGAACAGTTGTGTCAATTTTGAGATACTGCAAAGTTTTTAAACCTAACAAAATCTTTTCATAAAACATTTTTAGGATTCTTTTAAATTCATCCTTCTAGTGCATGATTATTTCAAGATGTACTGTCTATATCTCATCTGCTCCTTAAAGTAAGGGGTGAATTAACTCTTTGAAAATTTATTGGAGTATGAAAAATTAATTTGGGGCCTATAGGTTAATAAAATGATATACAATATTCATGGGGATCAACAGAGATTTAAAAATATTAATGTAAATATAGATAATATTATAGACATAAAACTTTAAAATACTTAATTTTAACAATTTTGAATAGTTACATTGGGAAATCAGATTTGTCTTCTTCAGGTAACCACAGAATCTTGCTGGAGAACTTTATTGACGTCTATACTGCTATTTGGTTCCGTTCTCTATTGGGTATGCTGAATTGGACAAGTTTTTTTTTTTAAAGGTACAGTTTGATATCTTTAAGTGTTTGTTTTACCTCCAGTGACTAGGTCAAACCCCTTTTGGGAAATGTAGCTCCTGTTCAAGTGGATTATGCCATTAGTTGGTACTTGCTGGTCTGATTGATTGTCCCTAATTCTAGGCTTTATTTGCTTGTAGGTTGTACAACTATTTTGACTAGAATCTTCTATTATAAATGTTATTTCTAAATTTAGATATAATAATAATCTATGAAATGGAGAATTATTTTTGTATTAAACTATAATTTTCACAACACTAATTTACTCTTTCCTTAAGAATTGATTTCCTGATGTCAGTTATGTACATTATTCAAATTCAAAAGATAATTGGACAGGATGACCAACTACTGGAAGGCAAGCTCAAAAGGCTTTACGTATTCCCAGAATGCCTAGCAATCTAACCAGATAGTAAATGTGCCATAGATTCTTTTGGGATGGTTAGTGTATTAAATTCAGTGTCACAAACTTTAAGACAGATTTCAACTGATATCTACCTAATAGAAGGAAAAAATGCAAAGTAAACATCTTTGCCAAAAAAAAGGCAAGAGAGGCAATATAAAAAGGGAAGGGAAGTACTCAGAATAGAGTTTTCAAAAAAATCTTATTTATTAGTATTAATTAAATACATTGAATGATAAAATTGATTAAAATGGGGTAATTATATCACCAATTTATTTTTGCTATGTATACATGATCTAAAAAACTGTACAACAATCTAACTCATCTCTTCTCAACAAAGGCCATCTCTAGCCACCCTTTTTTTGTTTACCATCTAAAAAATTTAACTAGGGGAATTTAATTTGCAGAGTTACCTTTTTAAAAACAAAAATATGTTCAAATGCATTATACCTGTTGTAGAAATATGCCAATACTATAATTCTTTCTGATTGTTACCATGTGCATTAGGAGAAATCTGAATCCAAGACATAAAGTGACTATCAAAGTCCTTGTTTCTGGATATTAAATTTTGCCAAAATGAAGAAAGGGTGCAAGTTATTCCAGACAGTTCTTGTCATGCTAGACCATCTTTCTTGGGTCTCTGAGATCCTCAACAACTGCTTTCTTGGTGTGATATGTCATCTCCAGGAGCCCACTCTTCTCACTACCCTTCTCTCTCTGTCTTCACTTCTCCAAGTGGCGGGTGTTAGGTAGAGTCAGGGCCGAAGATTCAACTACCAAAGGCTGAGGGCAACCTAATCATTTCCACTCTTCTTTCCAGAACCAATAACAAAAAGCACTGGACCCATGTCAAATCTGCTATGTTCGTCTCTCTTTAGGCCTTCCTTTGGGGTTCTATGTTCTCTCTTAGTTGGAACAACCACACTTTAAAATTACTTAAAAAACAAAAGAGTAAAAGGACACCATCATCCGTAGTAGAAGTCCCAATGCTGTGATATTTCTATCCCAGTTGTTCCGTCTGGACCACAGTTCCCTGGGGAGACATGGACTTACCGCAGGGAATTCCCCAAAATGTGATGATAACATTCTCTCTAGATTGAATAAATATTATATATCATCATTTAGGCTATTTTGACATCCATAATGTGAACGTATCAATCAGTATGGCACTGATAAAATTTAGTGTTTCTATTACCAAGCATAATGTGCCATTGACACTCTTCAGCTGTACCACACTTTCAGTGCCACCATCACTCTGCTGTCAATCTCATTCTCTCTCCTGTTTATGATTCTTATCAGCATCTATCCCATTCTGGAATCTCATAATAACTCATCTCTAAGCATCAGCTCATTACTCATATCACAAGGCTTAGAAATGGAGTAAATCTCAGTGATAGGATGAGTCTCCAGAATAATAGTGTTTGTTGCAAAATTTTGATAACATTTGTAAAGTTCATTTAGGAAACTTCCAAGTAGCCTATATAGTGAATCAAAATGATTATATGAAAATAACATATGCCTACTCTTGCTTATTTTTGTGCAACTGATTTCAAATAAACATGAACAGGAAATGAATGAATTTCTGATTCATGCTACATGAATGAACCTTGAATACATGCTATGTGAAATAAGCCAGACACAAAAGAACAAATAGTATATAATTCGACTTATATGGAATATCTAGTATAGGCAAATTCGTAGAGACAGAAAGTAGATTAGAGGTTTTACCAGAATCTGGAGGAAGGAATGAATGGTGAGTCATGCTTAATGGATACAGTGTTTACGTTTGGAGTGACGAAAAATTTCCTAAATAGTGGTAATAATTGCCCAACATTATTAGTATAACTAATGTCAATGGGTCGTACACTTAGTGGCTAAAATAGCAAATTTCATGGTATATCTATTTAACCACAATAAAAAAATAGTAAAAGAAAATGAGAATTCAGTTGAATAATTCTAGATTCACAATGATATTCTCTTTATATCTTCTCAATTAATAGAATAAAAAGTACAAATATTATAATGTAAAGATGCTTGAATTTTTAAAAATGAAAGCAAGAACTTCCTGTTTCGTTTCCTGATGAAAATTGGAACATATTTTTACCTGATACTGCAGTACTGGATGCTAAGGTTTTTTATTCATCATGTCCTTTTTTGGCTTTGGTATCAGGGTAATTCGGGACTCACAGAATGAATTGGCAAGTATTCTCTCCTTTCTGTTAAATTTTCTGGAAAAGTTGCTGTGGAATTGGTATTATTTCTTCCTTAAATGTTTGGTAGAATTCACTGGGGAAACCATCTGGGGCTGAAATTTTCTTTTTGAGAAAGTTTGTAATTATAAAATTCAATTAAAAAATAATTATAGGGCTACTCAGATTATTTATTTCTTCTTGAGTGAGCTTTGGTAGTTTGAGTCTTTCAAGAAATTGGTTCATTTCATCTAAGTTGTCAAATGTATTAGCATAAAGTTGTTCATAACGGTTCATTATACTAGAATCTGTAATGGTGTGAAACCTATAGTTTTTGAGTTTAATAATTTGTGCCTTCTCTCTTTTCTTCCATATCAGTCTACATCGAGGTTTATCAGTTGCAAACCTTTTATAAAACACTCAGCCTTTGGTTTCATTTAGTTTCCCTATTGCTTTTCTATTTTTATCTCATTGAAATCTTCTCTGATTTTCTTATTTTCTTGCTATATATTTTTCTCTAAATACTGCTTTGGCTGTGTTTTGAAATGCTGTGTTTTCTATTCAGTTCATAATATTCCCTAATTTCCCTATGATTTCAACATTGACTCATGAATTTTTTGGAAGAGTTTATTTAGTTTTTGAATACTTGGGGATTTCCCAAATATCTTTCCTTTACTTATTTCCAATTAAATTTCATTAAAGTCAGAGTACATATTTTATATGGATGAGGTAATTTCTAATTTATTGGGACATTTTATGGCCCTGAATATGCACTAAGTTGGTAAATGTTCTGTATGCCCTTGAAAAGTATGCGTGGAATGGAATGTTTTATAAGTGTCAATTGGATCAAGTTGGTTCGTAGTGTTTATCAAATCTTCTATAGCCTTACTAAATATTTTTGTCTACTTTTTCTATTGAATA